CCCCCAGAGACATGAATGCTTTTTTATTAGCCATTCCGAAGTTGATGAGAGGAATGGGAACGAGTGTTAAAAAGTACCCAAATTAAGAAATGAACCAAATCACTAAAAAGACCACCTCAAAATTAGTAAGTATACAAAGTTTGAAGACATTTACATAAATACACTTCGAATAATAACCTTTCGAAAATCGCGATATTTACTATGAAATGTCCTGTAATTTTTGTTTTGGGGACGCGCGTGCCAAAAACAATCTTTTAATCAGTAATTTGACAATTTTCAAAAGCTTATTATTCGAAGTGTATTCATGTAAACGTCTTCAAACTTTGTATACTTACTAATTTTGAGGTAGTCTTTTAGTGATTTGGTTCATTTCTTATTTTGGGCACTTTTTAACACTCGTCCCCAGTGTCGAATTCCGTAATTAGAACTGATATTTGTTTGGTTCTTTTCAAAGAATAAAATATTGTGTTACCATGACAACCACTTCACGTTTGGAAAATATATCTGTTTTGCTTGCAAAGCGAGAGTTTCAAGTATTAAATCAAGATTGCCAACTATTTTGGTGAATTTGTTCTTTTTATTCCTACAAAATTCTAGCTGTGTTTCATTTTTCAAGTTGTACAAAATGTGCCTGCAAGAAAGTTGTTTCGTTTCGCTCAGTTGAAGTTTACCGGTTTCCAGACCATGTCATTTCCAACTTTATCTACTTATTCACCAATTTGTCTAAATTTTCAAGGGCGTCTACATCATTAGTCTCCAGTTTTTCAATAGGCCGTCCAATATGTTCTTCAATTTTCTTTAACATTGGTAACCCACGACCTTCGTTAACGAAATTTACAGCAAGACCATAGCGACCGATTCGTCCGGTTATTCCAATTCTTTGCAAGTACGTTTCGAAGTCAGGTGCATTAAATCTGTCCACAGGCAAATCAAAGTTGACTACTAGCGACACTTGCTCGATGCCAATACCTCGGGCACATACATTTGTAGCGATCAGCAATTTCTCTTTTCCATCACGAAAGCGATTAAGTAAAGCTATTCTTTGCTCGACGGTAGTTTCTCCAGATAGCAAGGCAACAGAATGGCCTTTTCGGGTCATTTTTTCACTCAGCCATGCAGCGGCTTTCCTCGTCTAAATAAAAAAAAACTTTTGACTATGGAATTTTCAACAGGTTGAAAAATATTGGAAAAACGAACTACATTTAGTTTAATTATGTTGAAATATTTTATAAACATTATGTTGACATTATTTTATACTTGAATAGGGATGACGGTGCCTATTTGCCAGAGGAATACATGCATCTCATTGGCAGGTGACGTCATCCCTTGGGTATTTAAAAAGCCACGATTGCAACTTTAGATCACCCTTGATGCATGAAGACACTACATTGGAGTGTCGAAACGTTTGGTCCTGATTACAATTCGACTACCAAGACTACTATCGGTATGATCGATATTACTATTGATATTACTGTCGATATAATCGATATTGCTATCGATATAGTGTTCTCCAAAAAAATAGAGAAAGAGCACTTACGTTACAAAAGACAATACACTGTCCGATAGATATGACACCATATATATTACTTAAGGACTCAAACTTTTGTTCCATGCCAGTACAGACAACATAGAATTGCCGGATGTTGTCGAAGCTCTCTTCTTCTGGTCGTTGATATATAAATCTTGGTTTAGCAATTATGCTTTCTGCAAACTTCCTGACCTGTTCTTCATATGTTACAGAGGACAGCAACATCTGACAATCTTTGGGTAAAAATCTAAGTATAAGAGAAAATTAATGAAATATAGAAATCGATTTTTAATTTTGTTGCATACATAAATATGAAATCCCTACATGCTAGACTCGTTGATGCACTAGCTACCATCAATTCCACTATAGTTATTCTACCTTCAAAGAAGAGTTCAAGAACTTACTTGTGAACCCTAACAGACTGGTCTTTGTGGCCTTGTATATCAATCATGACGTCAGCGTCATCCAGCACGAACACTCTAATCTTCTTGGGATCAAATGCTTTTGCCCTTAATATCCAGTCCATTAATGTACCAGGTGTACCGATAATGATTTGAGACGTTAACATCTCACCACGAGCAACTAGTTTGCAAACAATGTAAGAACCAAACAATATATAGATCAATAATAAAAATATTCATTCTTCCGTTCCTTAATTTTTTTTCCATCAATTTCTTATTTACAGTATTCGTTCTTTCTATGCAGAAAATAAATCTGGTGCCAAGTTTTTAGTTATGATTTCAATACAATTTTTAATAGATTCAATACACAAGGTGGATAGCTCCTGCATTGTTGACATTTTCCTAACATTAGTCCCAATATAAAGCATGCAGACAATGCTTCACTTACTGTATAAAGCTTTTTTACGAAGTAGTAAAGATATTTCTGCAAATATTACTCTAAACCAATTATGTTTATATAGAAAAGCTTGTTTACTTACGGCGATTCTCTGTAATGGCATATGCTATCTTGATTTCTGGACAATACTTAGCCAATTGTTCTGCAACAGCCCCTGTTTGTTTTGCCAGCTCCGGGGTGAGTAAAAGATAAATTACCTATAGGGCGAACATAAATAAAGTAAGAGTTGACATGGAATTTGTGATGTAAGTGGGGTATCCAGGCTTTGACTTCTGCAAGATATATTAAATTTTGGAAACACCAAATTGAACATACTTCCAAATTGGATTTTTATTCAACATAGGCATCACAGGAAATTGGGAAATAATGCTCGTTTTCCACCATTTTTGATGTACAGAGCTTGCATAAACGTTCTCGTGGTATGTTTTGGAATCTAAATCTGGTGCCAAGTTTTTAGTTATGATTTCAATACAATTTTTAATAGATTCAATACACAAGGTGGCCGTAGCGAGGGAGGTATTGGGGGGGGGTGGTTAACCCCCCCCCAACTTTTGTAAAATTAACATATTCGGAAAATCGGGTTGGCCATTCGGTAAATTACGGCAATAATAGTATAACAGAATTTCAGTTGTTTAGACAGAGAAAATATTATAAAATGGTATTGTGATCAGTATAAGTTATAAACTGATTTACGAAATCACAGCATTTACATGGATAACATTTAACAAATCGTAGATCGGTAAATATTTTTTCGGTTTATTACTTCTCAGGGCCGTTGCAACAGGGGGGGGGGGCTAGGGCAGCAGCCCTTACAATAATTTGCTGATAATCACTCTTTTTTCAAAATCATGCACACCTTTATAATTTAAATAATATACTTTTAAAATACTGACAATTGATTAATTTTAAGCGGCTACATTATCCATGACAACCCGCAAAGAATCATATTACCCTTACTCTT